AGGGGGGAGGGCGATGGAGGGAGGGGGGACGGAGTAGAAGTTCTTCCCCAGGTTGGCGTTGTAGAAGGCCGGTGATGATGTTGAGGAGGAGGGAGGGGGGAAGGAGGTGTGGAAGTGAGGCTGGAACCCAGGCTTGGCGAGCTCGGCGCTGTCCGTCTGGTACGGTCTCATCCCGCCAGCGGTCGCCAGCGCCCCCAGGGGTGGGTACCCGGCCGTCCCGAACGCCCCTGGGTGGGGCAGGTTGGGGTACATGGAGCTGCCGGCGGGTACAGACATGGGTGGCTGTTTCTGCATGAAGCCGGGGCTGGGACTGTTGTTGTCCTGTTGGAAGGACTTCTCCCCCTTCTGCCACGGCTTCTTCTGTTTGAACTTCTTGATTTTCCCAAACTTCCCCTCGTGTGCGGGCCCGCGGCGCTCCCGGTTCTGCCACGGTCGCTTCCCCTGCTGGAACTTACGACCTGCAACATAATCAGAACCTTACGATTCATCTTTTCCACTGTCAGGTCTTAGAAGAGAATAGCTTATTTTTAGCAGTTGTAGACCATTCAAAGATGACTGATATTGATCAATCTGGAATACATACATGTACTTGCCTACACTCCTAAGTTTAGTTTTGTTATGATTCATAAAAGTGATTCAAATCTCTGAGGTAGATGACTAAATTCTATTTGGGATTTTTGGGTCTTAGCAACAGGAAAGAGACATTTTGACAGGAGAATCATTAAGACAGCAAATCTGTGTTTGATGCAGGACTCTAGCCAGCTTGAAATCTTTTTCCGTCAGCCCAGGTTCATGATTGGAACTGGCAGAAGAGTGCTCATAACCTCGGGGAGTCCAGGAACATATCTTGTATTTTCAAGCCTTTAAAAACTCATGGGTTTGAAAGCGTTGTTGGTGGTCCTTCTGATGTTTTTATACATGTTTTTTGCCAATTTTGTCCATCTAGGTTGACGAATTGGTTTTTTAAATTTCCGCCACAACGTTCCTGCAAAAACTGGTGCTGGTTAGAGCCCTTGTTTGACGATAACATGCTACTACCAGTTAGTCTTACCTTTGTCCCCAGACGGGTGTCTGAACCCACGCTGGAATCTGTTGTTGGACGGGAAGTTCTGCCCTCCACCTGCACCTCCGCTAAACCCACCACCGCTGCCGCCCCCACCGTGACCGCCGTCCCGGGACGTCCCTGCACCCCCCCGCTCACCCCACATGTACCCTTCCAGCTTCATCCCACGCTCGGGACGGTCTGATGGGGCAAAAACAACACAGGACTGTCAACAGGACTGCCTTTCAAAAACACAGGACTCTCTCAAAAACACAGAACTGTCTCTCAAAAACACAGGACTATCTCTCAAAAACACAGGACTGTCTCTCAAAAACACAGGACTGTCTCTCAAAAACACAGGACTGTCTCTCAAAAACACAAGACTATCTCCCAAAAACAAAGGACTGTCTCTCAAAAACACAAGACTATCTCCCAAAAACACAGGACCGTCAACAAAGTGCTCAGGCTCCCCTCTTCCCTTTAATTCACAAGAAAAATCATCTACACTTATAAAAGGGAACAGCACATGAGGGTGTGTTTGAAATTCAGCAAACTAGAACTATGTCTCCTGCTGTCTTACTGAGGGATGTAGAAGATGGATACCATCCTTGAGGGTCTAGTTTACTCATTGACACTGTCCTGTAACAGTTAAAAGAATATTCATCAGTGACTGTTTGAAAGGTATCAAACCCTTGGTACGTGTTTGATACCTTTCAAACAGTCACTGTTTGATGGATATTCTATTAACTGTTAAAACTATACGTGACTGATGAACCGCTTCAACGACTGGGTCCTGTATGCTTTAAACTTTGACCTTTCCCCTCACCTTCCACCTTAAACGCCAGCTCCCTACCGTCCCGCCACCTGTACTGGTGCCCCCCCTGGCTCCACTCCTCAGGGGGGTAGTTTGTGGACATACCGTCCTCGGGCACGTCCTCCTCCGCTGTGTCCGTCTCCGACTTGAAGTCCACTTCCTCCGTCTTGACCTGTGGGTCAGTGCCCTGTAGGTCATTGCCCCCAGCCTTGCCTGGTGCAGTCTGGTCCTAAAGGGGACACAGTAAAAACACTGCTTCAATTCTGTCATCTTTAATCCTTATCTAACTAGAAAGGTAACTTTTGCAAAGCAAATGAATAATTTTTCCCTTTACATATTACCTGCTTTGTTCATTCTTACTCAAACACATTCACATATATATGGTGACAGGAGTCTAAATCCTTCCTGCTATAAAATTGCAACATTATGTAACCCAACACAAGGTACCATGGTGACAGACATCTGGTTCTGGTCATTGACCTTTTGTGTTTCGGTAAACATAATCAAACTAGCTTTAACCTCAGTGCTATTAGATACTCAAGACACTACACTGTGTCAGGGAAAAGTCTGTCTGCAAAATTAGTATCTGGTGAAGGAGTTGCACTACCTCTTTGTTCTCCTGGGGGGCGTCTGACTCCTTCTTCTTACTTGCGGAGGCATCCTCATTGTCAGATACGTCCGGGGAGGAAACCATTTCTCGTAGGTCGAAGTCCTGGAGAGGAAGACAGAAGTAATTTCGTGTATTAATTGCATGTTAAATGTTTGCCAACATGCAATTTTGTATAGGTTCCAGACTTGTCAAATATGTATTTTGCAGAAGTATCCTGAATTGCAGAACAGAACTTTGACATTCTGCAATATTGTAGAACACTGAGAAAAAGTATTTCTACCACCGCAAACCGTGACTGGACACCGACCTGGCTATCCTGCTGCTCCTTCTCGTGTTCCGAACTCTTCCGACGACTGCGGTCCAGCTCTGATGACGCGAATGCCATGAGCGCGTCGAAACCACTGCTCAGCTGCGCCTGCCACTTCTTGGTGTTCGGGGAGATGGTGTGCTTCGATTGGTCGTCGTTTTCAGCCACAACCATCGCAGATTCCTTGGGCAGTGACGGGGGCTTCTTCCCTGGGGTCAGGGGTCGTTTGGTCTTTTCTACACCACCGGAACTGTCAAACAAGTAGGACGACAATTACAACACTGCTGTTGAGGTATCTGACAACTTAAGCTATTGAAAAATTAGCCATACAATTCAACTTGTACTACAGTACTACTACTAGCTGTCGATTGTCACGTGTCAATCATAGAATCATCATTTCTTGACATCATGATCTGGTTGCCTAATGTGAAACCAGTTTGTTGAATTCTGGCAAATCTACTACAAAGACACAAACCTCGACTTGTCTTCCGGACTGTCTACTGCACCCTTCTCTTGTGCCTGCACTTTAGCCAGGCTGCTGATGACGGTTTGTCCAGGCGCTGTCCGGGAGGTCACCTCCGCGACCGGGGAATCCCGCGCCGACTCAGGGGACGAGATGGCTGTGATCTCCAGCGGTTGGTTGATGTTGGTGACGATATTGGCGATGGTCATAGGCAGGTCTTCATTTTTACCCTCACTGCTAGCACCTTCCCGGGGTTCAGCATTTTCCTCGGCAACCTTATTTTTCTGACTGGCTGTTGAGGTAGGCGAGCTGAGTACAGGAGGAGCGGCGGACACTGCCGGCTTCTTACTTCCGCCGTCCTGCGCTGCGGGGGACCTCTGCCGTTTTCTCTTCCTCTTCACCTTGGTTTCTGGTGGCGTTGTCGTTGTTGCGTCCGTTTCTACTGGCTTGGAGGCCGTGACACACGTGGTGCTGACAAGGACACTGGGATTGTTCGGAGCGTTCACGCCACAGAAAATCTGAGGACCGACATCCCCGGACGTGCCATTGAAGAGGGGTCTCTTGGCTTGTTCCAGACTGGAATACATCATTGGATTCACCAACCCTTGTCCACCTGCGCCCCCTACCATTTTGACAGCGTACTGCAGGTTCCCAAACCCCATGGCGTTAGGGAGGACGCTTGTGGGAGCACCATCGGACCTCACAAACTGAGCAGCTGATTGGCTGGTGCTAGGTGACCGTTCCCTGGAGACCAGCTTGTCGATGGTGAACGGGGACGTCCCACTGCGGGGGCTGGGGGTGTTTCTCGGATAGCTGCGCGATGAACTCACACTACTGTTACTGTGAGGACGGTCTACCCCCAACACTCCCTGGCCGTCAGAAACGGTCCCTGCCTCAACACTGGGGAAGGGGCTGGAGCTCTTCCTTCCTCTGGCCTTCCCTTTGGGGGACTTACTCTCCTGCTGCCCTACCTCTTTTGGAATGGCACCTTCCTTCTCTGCAGTGTCCAGGCTTGCCAGGGGAATGCTCACCGGCAGTTTCGGGGGGTCGACGCTCTCTAAAGGGATGCTGATTGGCAAGCTGAAGCCCGTGACGGGAGGGCTGACGGGACTGACAGGGGAGATGCGGCCGCCCATGTAGGACGCGGCGCCCTCCACGGGTTGTTTGGCGGCGTCCCCTGGGCCCTGGGAGGGAGGGGAGGGCCGGTCGCCTTCCTTGGGTTCCCTCTGCAGAGCTGGGCCCAGCAAGTCCACACAGCCAGCTAACCGTGGTTCCTGTGGATCAGGCAGAAATACATGTCAGATGACTCAGGGCTACCACTGACAGTGGTATCTGTATCTGTTCCTGTACAGCCGGTATAACCACCCCTCTGTGTAACACACCAGCTGAGTGTGAGTAGCTGAGGAGAGTTGGTACTCAACATAAGACAAATCAAGATGTTAGGACTCAAGTCAACTTCAGTAAAATCTGACATAGTGGTGTGTACTGTTACACTGTACCAAATTTGGTTCAGGTGAAAAGAAAGGGTGTACTGATGCATTTCAGTGTTATCTTAACGGTTTTTGGTTGGCATCACTTTGGTTGGCATCATCTTAACGGCATCACTTTGGCTATAATGTAAAAGAAAATTTTTTTTAAAGAAGTGAATCCATACCTACTGACCCTATTTTTTTCAGGAATGTAAAAAGAAACACCACATGAATTTTCCTGTGGCTTACCTGAGAGAAGTGTTTCCTGAGAGCGAGCTTGGCGGGGGAGTAGCGTCTGTAGTCAGGCAGGGGGCTGCCCTGTCTGGCAGGGTGAGGTGACAGTTGCTTCCCCACCACCCCTCCACTCCGCTCAGGGCTCGGGCTCTCCAAACCTCCTGTGGGAAACATTTCATTTTATTTACCAGGAGATACACACTCAGAGCAGCATGTCGACAGAACGTACTGCACCTGTGCAAAGCCTTGTTTTTTTTGCGGTTTGGGCTGGATTTTTGGTCACCATTGCATTACAATTTTGCCTGTTGCAGACCATATCTTTTCCTAAATAACATTTGGAACTACAAATGGGACGTTAACCTTATATATGCGAATACATTTTGTACTACCAGTCAACCAGTGAAACTTCCCTCACCTGTCATGGGAGAAGTCGGCTTAGAAGTTGCCATAGCAACAGATGCAGTGGTTGACACATCATTGGTCAGTCTCCTGTGTGGACAAAATTCACATCATCTCATGTAAGGACAAGACCTGCTGCACTTCATACTCTACAACCTAAAAACTCAAACTTAACTAGAAAAGACTGCACAGTAAATGCATAATGTTATCCTTCACATGGTGTAGCACAGCAAACTACTGCACTGTTTCATCTTTCATCTTAAACAAATTTATTTGATATGGGGACTGGCCTCTACAACTCTGTCCTGCTCCAAAATGTAACCAAACACCTCAGGGTGTCTGCTACTGCACCAGTTACTATGGTGACAGACATCTGGTCCAGGTCATTAACTTTATTTGCTTGGAGAAGACGAAGAGGAAGAAGAAACAGAGCAAAAACAATAATAAAATCCTTGGTCCTCACTTGATGTCCTGCTCCCCATCTGCAGTCTCCTCCTGACCCTTCCCAGCATGCTCTGCTGAGTCCTTCTCTGACCCGCCCTTCTGCAAGGTCGCGACCTCTGTCTCCAGCTGGTTGGTGAGCTTCTTCAGACGTTTCCGCTCCGCCATGGCCGCCATGATCTCCTGCATCACCGCCTCACGGGTCACACCATTCGGGTCCTGGGGGGTAAGGACACTGACATTCAGGCATTTTCAGAAAAGCAGACAGCGTACCCTCCCAAAACAGTTTTGTTATTGTCTGCCTCAAATCAATAAACCAACAAAAATCTCCCTAAACTAGAAAGGCTGGCATTTGCTCTTGAACAAATGCAGCATATTTACCTCCATCTTCTTCTTCATGCGACTCAAAGCTGACCAAAGTGACATCTAGAGGGAGCATAACTAATACACAACAGACTTATCAGGGTAGTTAACACTGTCAGACTGTAACACAAACACGCAGTCCTGTCTCTGGGACCCATGGGGGAACAGCTAAGTCAATATTTTAGGCAACAAATAAGCATGTTATTAGTGTTAGCTCTATACAGATACAGTACCAGTTTTGGTACAGTATCGGTACTGTGTACACAGCCCTAGCCTGACCTTTTTGTTGTTGTCTGCCTCCAGTTTGTCGATGTCCTGCTGCAGCTGCTGTGCCTTCTGGTGCAGCTCCCTGTTCCGCACAACCTCCTTCTGGGACAGCGTCAGGATGTCAGCTGCTGACTTGATGCCCAGCTGTAAGAAACAGCAATTTACTGTACAGGTACATGTAGATTCTTGTAATTGTTAGATCACCAACTTGTCTTGTTTATACTCATTTTTTCTTTTACCCATTTTGTAATTATGTATGTATTTTGTCATTCTGTGTTACTCTCATTTTATGTTTTTGGGTAGAAGGCGTTACATAAGCAACTATGCTTCTTGCCTAATACTCAATAAATATATGTGAATTGTCACTGACCTCCTGTAGTCTGGTGGACAGCAGCTTCTTGCCTTCCCCCAGCAGCTGTTCAATCTGCTGACTCAGCTGTCCAGCCTTGGCGGTCAGCTGTTCCTGTCGCGCCTGTCAGACAAAAGGTGGATGATTATTTTAATACCTGCACAGCCCCAATTTTACCTGCACTAACCTGCATATCCAGCCCTGAATCCGTAAGTAAACACATATTACTACACAAAGTAAACCATATGTGCTTGGTTCCTACCTTTTCCTGCTGTATTTCTTGCTGTAGTTGCTGCTTGTAGTCAGGCGTCCGCATGTACGCTAGGAACTGGAGGTACTGCATCTTGAATGTTTCTGTGTCAATTAGAAGTAATTCAATTGCATTATTAGCAATGTTTTGGAAGCCTATTCAACTGTTCAATACATTGTCTTTGAGCCCAGACTACATAGAGTACATAAAAATTATGGCAAATTTTTATAAAAGTGACCAGAGTAAGAAAGGGTGGAGTAAGTGGTAATTCTACTCACCTAGCAAACGTTGCAATGCAGGGAACGCCTGCTCCACCATTGGCTGTTGCTGGAGACGGTAAGGGTGTGGCGGCAGCGTGAAGGCAACCGTACGATCGTATGGGCTGGTCGGCCCGCGGTCGTGCTGAGAGCCTTGTGGAGACGTGCTGTTAGACACCGTTTGAGCGTGTAGCAGGTCCAGCGCGTCTGTTTTGCATTTGGCGATCTTTTGTCTCCGTCGTGACTTGTTGGGCGGTTCGGTCGAGTCCTCGGCCTCGTCAGATTTCTTCGGACGCCCCGGCCCACGTTTCGCGGCCTGCCGCTGCTTCTTCTTGCTCGCCTTCTTCCTATCGCCCTCGTCTTCCGGAGGTGAAGGTGGTCTCTGTAACACAGGTCAAAGGTAGAAGGTTACAACACTTGACCTCAAAAGTACCCGAGTATATCATCCCTCTTACAAGAACTGTTAGAGGGATTTTATGAAATACAACCTTTTCATTACCTGCTTCTGCAATATAAAATATTACTCCATGAAGTAGAGAACCTTCTGAAGCAATTTTTGGAAATCTGACTGGTACTATTAATGGTATAAGTCATTTTGAGCCAAAAATTGTTTTTGGTTCCTTTCCCTAAAAATCTGAATTTCAGGTGTCTTCACTGTCAACTGTAACCATAATTTGAAATACTTTTGATTTCATCACCTTGAAGTACTAACAAAGTTACATTTAGCGCTCACTAACAGTTGTAGATTGACCTTGTCAAATCTGTATGGCATGCAATATGTCTTTCCTGACGCAGTGCCACTATCTAATGGGGTTAAACTAGAAGCCATGATGCCGACATACAAACAGAGATACATGAGTGCAACTTGATTTTATGGTTGTTCTTATGTGGAGGCCTCAAATAGAGTATGGTGCAAGAAAATCGCCTCAAATTCTGAGGTGTCACCAAAAATAATTGCACGTCTTTTACAGTATGATGCAACTTTTGGGGACAGTTTCATTGTACTATGTAGATACATGTAGCCCTTTTCTATCAGTATAAAAATTTCACAATGTACATTATAGTAGCCTGTTACCAGGGTTTGATCACAGTTTCTGTGCTGCCCTTTTGGTTACAGGAGCTAGATTTTTAGGCAGAAAAATAAGCAACATAGTCATCCATAAAATCAACTGTGATTGGCCAAACTTCAGGGATCTCTGTCATCAGGCAGTATAACTATAAGCGGAGGTGTTAAGGGGTCCTGAGGGTTCTGCGAAGGCATGACAACTTATTCTGACACGTACCCGTTCTGCCGGCATGCCCACTGACCCCCACATAGCCGGCCCCATCTGAGGAAGAACACATCAAGTCATGTACTACTACACCCCTGGACACACAATGGTACGTGCCCAAATCAGTCAGGTTCGTCTGATTCTAGACTGGTCCATCGCATTCTGGGGGGGTTATGCTCAGTATAACTGAATTGGCCAAAGCCACCTTTCCTCAATGATGCTCTCCAAGGTCACATATAAGTTTTAGTAATGTCATTTCATTTCTGGGGTCAACTTTCCATACCAAGTCTAATAAATCTATGAAACCCATATCAATACAAGCATAGTCACGCTCACATACACAGACATTTGTTTTATTGCTATTAGTCATTTTTGTAAATTGTAATTAGACAATATAACAAATTTATATATGATAATGATAATATACCACAATCTACAAAATAGAAACAAAATAATGAAAGTAAACAATAAACACAGATCAATATGATAGATGTTTGGTCTATGTACAAATACAAGAAGTGATACATTGGCACGAAAAAAAAAGAACAAGAAGAAAAAAAGATCTTTCATTAAAAACAAGGACACTGAATAAGATTCCTTCCATACTTACCACAGCTCGGGTGTAGTTGTGAAAACCCCAGGTGGGAACCTCCATCTGGAAAACATAACGAGAATATTACATGCATTTTAAAATCGTGGCTCAAGCTTATTTTTAGACCATGTCCAATAAGATCAATGTCACTGATGGAAAATAGTTGCTTGTTTCATATTGTAGGCTGGTTCTAGCTATTTATGGGTGGTACCAAAAAATAAAGGGATTCCTCACATAGCTTGTTTACATGTATGACTGCCCTGAAATTGAATTATTGGATGTGTATAAAATTGTGCAGTGATGACAATGAAAAGTCAAAATGACCTTCCATCACACATGTATGGTGATGATACTGTGAATCAACATTTTTTTTACTGTGAACAAATAATTTGCCAACTTTCTTTTTGCTGGACATGCCACCACTGAAAACGTGTACATGTACATTTTTCTCAGACCGCGAACTTTTGCTACTCCAAACAAACATAAAGTGATTTACAGTATAACAGTTTGTTTTACCCTTTCGTGAGGATTCTTGCCCATCGGCTCCGGTTTCTTCCCAGCGATCCACTCCTGCCACTGTCGTCGCGTCGTGGCGCCATAGATGTTCTCCTCGTTCTCCTTGTCGAAGCTGATGTTCTTGGCGGCGCGGAAGTCCTCGCGGCGCGTCGGTGAGCTGCTGCTGCTCCCACTGCTATTGGAGCGCCCGTTCCCGTTCCGCCCACGTTCGAGCTACAACACACAAACACAGACGCCCACGAAGATTAATTCAAACAGCAGCTTCCTTACTCCATCTCTGTACAGACGGTTTCAAATGGAGGTAAACAAAAAGGAAGAGAAACAAAGGAGACAAAAAACTAGTTACAAGAGATGAATATGCTGTGGAATTGTCAGAGAAAATGACTTCATCTTAAAACTAGATCGTGAAATGTAAAAGCTACGGCTGCGTTGACATCCATAAGTTAAAAGAGCAAGAGAAAGCAGGGAAACGTACAACTGGTAAATAGATTGGCCCTTATAAAGGAGAGAATGGTAAAGAAGGCAAGCAAACGTACAGAACACAATCTATCTTAAACTCCAATTTAAAACCCTTTGGATTTAACAGAACGGAACATTTTTTCTTGTCAAGAACAGAAATTTGGTCAACAGTACCAGAAAACCAAAGAGCCAACAGGGGCAGTCTCAAAGGTTCACACAACTTCCTGAGATGAAATCACTTTTGTTTGACTAGAGTTTCAAAATCATACAGAAGTACTCAGAAATCCTTACCTAATACTATCGGTTCAATATCTTCCCTAGGAGATGGAGACTCTTGAAATGTCTTCAAACAAAAGTAAGTTCTTAAAGAAAGAAATGCATACCTTAGAGATAGCCCCAGGGTTGTTGTTATTTTGTAAGGAATCTTAGCACGTTATACTCACCCCCTGAGAATTATTATGAATTTTACTACTGAAGTAGTCTTCCAACTGGAATAAAAACACAAAACACCAAATTACTACAAACTCAAACAAACAGCCTTTTGTCTCCTGTGGTCTGGGCAAACTTGTCTCATCAACAGCGCCTCCTGCTGAAACACGTCATCATTGCAGCAGCAGGTGTCGGTCTTCCTCATCACCAAACATTTTCATCCAGTTCCATCCAGGGTTGACTTCACGACATCACGGCAAGGTTTTCACTGTAACTGCTACTTTTTTGCTCTATGAAAATAGGCTTGAGGTGTCAATCATTGCTTTTAGAATGATTTTCTAGGGCATGTCAAGCCAAATTGGTCAAAAGGAAGGAAATGTTTGTTTTTGGTTGAACCTACTTACATCTGTTTTAGCAATTTAGATTGCCCCTTTAAATTTTTCTTAGTAATACAATCTGAATAGAAGCAATATTCTTTATCTTCTGTAGCTTGCATTAAGGGAAAGAAAGTATTTTAAATTTTGTTTTCCTTTTCTTTTTGTAAGATTTTATCAAAAGGAAAATCACTCAGTCTGGACAATCCAAGCTCTGGAACTGAAGATGACACAAAACACCCAAGGAGACAGAAGGCTCGAGGAGCATAAAAAATCAGGAAATTTGAAAGATTTTGTACGCTTGATTTGGTTGAAATTTTTTTTACAAATTGCTTCCCCCTCCCCACAGAATGAACTACTGTAAGTCTTTCATATATGTATGGCACAGAGACAAGCAACGAAGAAAACAAAGTCTGTAGACCATCTTCCCAAGATCATACATGGAATAACCAAACCTAAGGTGCTCACATATTTTATAATGTTACTTCTTACTACTTGCAAAGCTTTGAGACTCTTTTAACACAAAATGTAAATTTTGCTGTTTTGGTATACTTTCAAAATTTTCCAATCAATACAGTGCAGCATATACATAACAAAATATAATTATGGTATTTCAAAGGTTTATTTTTGAAATTCGACTACCTTTATCCATGAAATGCAGCAGATTTAAAGATTAACAGTAACATTATGATATTATTCCATGTAACACATTTTGGAAGATAGTGTACAACACCAATGGTACAGAGCAGCATATTGTGACATTGACTGCAACTAGAAATGTGCTTATGGGTGAAATTTTTCTTTCAGCAGAGATTCAGGAATAAAACATTGAATGAGCAGCCAAAAAATATGCTATACTAGTCTTAAGTTTTATTTGGCAGACAACTTTTTATTCCTTGGCACTCCCAGGGAGTCTTGTTACCTGACATAATTAGGTGTAGACTATTGTTCTGGTATATGGCTGAAAATTTGCAAATCTAAAATCTAGATCTAAAATCTATTTTGACACTTCCATTTGCAGTCAACCACTTCCAGCAAAGCAAAAATGAGGGATGGAAGAGGACAAAGGTCATATATCCCACAATGCATCATAAAAAATCACATCATGCCTATCATGATGAACCATGGGAATTTCCCATGATGCACCATACTAGAGCTTATTCAACATTTGACTTATGTAAACTTATCTCTTTAAACAAATTTGACAAAGTCTTTGGAAACAATAAAACATACACTTTACTGCTTGAATTCTGTTTTTCATGTTATCTCATTCCTTCTGATGCATATAAGATTGAACCTTTTGTTGACAAGATATTTTTCTTTGCTCACTTAAATTTGGAATGACACTGGGGAATTGTTGGAAAACTTATACATGTATTTCAAGTGTGATATTTGTTAAGCTACCACCACTGGCGTGTTAAGCCAAGAGGCAGTTAAACTGCCAGAACGATTCAAAAATTTTCAAAACCCCAAGTGTCTTTGACAAATTCCAAGTGACCAGTGTTACAAGTCCATCCTTCACAGTCCGTGTTCAGGGGTGGAAATGGAGCTGATACTTACGATTGTTCTGTCGATCACGTGGAGGTAGTACGACACGGGCTTGCCGGTCCACGAAACAGACCCGCGCAGCGGAGACAACTCCGACACCCGCATGATCGTACCTATATCTGTCAAACAACACAAACAACGCATGTGTATTCATACGTAACACAGTAGTTTGACCAATTATTCTCAGAGCTCTCTTACTTGCCTTTCTCTTTTGTTGAAAGGCAAGTTGTTGCCATTATAAATGGTTGATGCCGTATCGCAGAATGGCACACTTCAAGTGTATTAGAATGCTCCGTCAAACACCATGATGTTTTGTGGTGTAGAGGGTTAGGACTGAATAGGATTAAGCATTTTGACCCAGGTCTGCATCTGTGCTTGCACTCCATCTTTTTTCTTCACTAATATCTTTGCTATTTGCCATGTTGCTGCAATACATTTTAACTAAAAAGTGCATTTTATAATATATATGTTTTACATATTTTTCAACCCTGGAGTGGAAACATTCATCAGGACTTACCATTGAGGTTTCTGTCTGTGATACGAAAGTTGAGAGGACAGAAAGCTTTGGAAGAGACGACTTTAGCACCTGTAACAAACAATATGAACTGTAAGTCACCAGTAAGTACATGACACTTCCTGCAATACATACAAAAATGTGAAATGCAAATAAATTGAATCTTTTGAGATTATTTGATCACCTCCTCAGTTATCTTTTGAGGAAAAAAATTACGAATAGATTTCTATTATTTCCCATGATTCTAGCCATTTTTTAAAAGAAATTATGCACTTGGTTAACAAGTCGCTTTCTCTCAAAATGCAGGTTATACAAGAAATGTTGGTTATAAAGAACAATAGTCACAAACTGCGCCCAATGATGGAAGACTGTTTTTTCAGCCTCTGTATAAATTTTCAGTCTCTCACTCCTTTCTACACCTCATTACAAATTCCAAGGAAACACTGCTCACCTTCTTTCATGTTTGCGAATCTTTCCTTGAGTTGGTGGTCCACAGCGGGGCCAAAGGCAAAGTTGTTCACAAACACAATACTGCAACAACAGGGGGGGGGGGGGTTATAATATAATGTATCATGTTGAAGAGTAAGCAAACCTTATGCCTTAGTATAAGACTTTTTATACATCAAACTCGACATGTTGATTTGTTCATATACTAATGTACCGTTTTGTACTATCCACTTGTTTGTATGTTTACCAAGTGACAATACTTTTGTTGTGTCAATAAAAATCATCAACTTATTTTCTTCTGCAGTATCTTAAATTTATTAAAAGGCTTTTAGAAATGGATTTTCCAGAAAGATCTAACTTGTATTTTGACCTATCCATACTTTGAAATACTCAAACAGTACCCACTCACAGATTAGTTCAAACAATCTGAAAGGCTACAAAGTTACAAGGCTGTCATTCTATCACTGTCTCCACTCTCTTCCCACCCCCATGCCGCCCACAGAAATACTTTCCTAGAAACAGTTTTACAAGTGAAACACAGGAATGAGTGGGCTTCTCCTCTAACAAGTACATCTTGGAAACATTTCCCATAGTGACTGCACTTTCTTCTAGGAATATGGAAGTATCCTAATGGATTCTTTTATGACAGAACTCTTGATTGAAAATGATTAGAATATACATTTTGTTGGATTGTTAGAAGAGTTGTTCCAGGACCAAGCTGCCTGAAAGTGATCGAGCTTAGGCCTAGAAACAAAAATGTTTCAGTCTTGAAAAAATTAGGGTCAGTAGGTAGGGATTATCTTTTTTTACTAGACTTTGGAAACCTCTAGTGATTGAGCTTATACAATACGTTTTAGCAAACTAAGTAAAACTTGCATGAGGACACTTATATTTATAATGTCAATGTTGGAAAACCAATTGTACAATGTTTTATCACTCAGGTGTCAGATCATGGAGAGAGAAAAGGTCAATCAGCTAGAAAAAATTCATGTCCCTTACAGGAGTCAACCAAAAAAAGGGCTAGGGTCATCAGTTTTTAGGGTCGGTCGGGAAACAGGAAACACAACATTTTTTCCCTAGGCCTTACAGCCTATCCAATATCCATACATGTAATATAACTTGTCCTCTAAATGTAATCCAAGGCTGGTCTTGAGGGATATGATCATGATTTGAAGCCCCCTACCTCAACAGGCTATGAATACATTCATTCCCCATAAACAAAACTCATCTGATTTTATGTTCTTTTCTTACCTAGTATTGGCAATTTTATCTTTGAATGTTGGAGTCAGGAAATCCCCCTTCTCCAACTGTGTAGTAAAAAGACAGTAGTTCAGAACATTAGTACATATTTGGTATGGCTGACAACACGAAATGTAAAGGCTAAAATGCCCCCCAAAATACATGTACGTATACTCTCATAATAACAGATTATACCATGACAAACAGAAGGATACCTTTTGAAATGATCTGTAAAAGTTCACTGTACGTCTAGCAACAGGTTCTAAGAACACATAGACACATAACCATAAATGTGTCCATGTGACCATAATGATGATAAAAAAACATTAGAAGATATCTTTCTCTCTCATTGTTTTTAAACTTGTTTCCACCTGTATATTAGGTTATGTTAGCATTATGCTTGGCTTAAAGCATGCCAAAGATCTGAGGAAAAATTATCTATTAGTAACTCGACAAACTGAAAAAAATTAAAAAGTAGCAGACTCACCTTGTATTCCCCATAGGTCTTTCCATACCACTTCATCCACTTCTTGAAATTCACATCCATTCTCTGCACAAAGGACAGAAGAACATGGGAAATTAAAACAAAACTTCAGCAAATGCAGTACTGAAGAGAAATGCTAGGGGGCATCCAAACCTTGAGCAATCTGACAGAAACAAGAACCACAGAATAGTTCCGTGCTCACCTGAGAGTATATGGCAGGGACGTCAGACTTCTCCACACCGTAACAGAACCGACATGGCGTGGACGCTGCCACCTGCAGAACCACCTGTCCAACACCTGCAAAACAAGTATGAAACACCTGTATTACACCTGTCTAACACCTGGAAACATGTTATGAAACACGCCTGTCTTACACCTTACAGCTAACAGTTTAACTGCTCTTTCCCAATTTTCACAATCTGGGCAGCTTCTTGAGCACAGAGATTAGGTCTTGTTATATTTCCAATAAATACAGTTCGTACAATACAAATACAAACATGCACTTGCTCATTTAGTGCCATGTCAGTTCAAAAAGTGGTGGTTTTGACATACCATGTACTGTGTACATATCATATCCTAATACTTAACCATACTGTTGGTCTAAAAAGAACTGCTGTCCAGTAAAATTTGATTGTTTATGCTTGATTAGGGTTAGGGTAAATTGCTTATATAGTACTGTTTTTAGTTGCAAGGCCTTACTTGCAAAGTTTGGCATAATTGGCTTGTAACAATGCATCCAAGGTACTAACTACATGTACCACATTGACACCCCATCCCTGTCCTTGGTGCTGACTATCTATCACACGGAATGTTGTTTTCCTCCTTACCACTGCCCAGGTCCATGAAAGTGTCATCCTCTGTGATCGTGATCTCATCTGTCATCTGAGCAATCAGGTCAAACGAAGTCTCTCCATACACCTGGGGGCAGAAATGTCGTTTTGTTACCAGATGTGATTCTGTCAATACACGCAGAGTTGGTATTGCTGGTAATCTCCAAGCAGATCATACGGTGGCAAGGCAGTATCCATTGGCCAGAGGAGTGTCCATTAGCCACCGAAGATCTGCCTGCAGTCGAAACGTCAAAGGCTATTAACACCTAGTTGTTGCCTACTCAGAATGTGTTTGCCAAGTAGTTTATTGCCCTAACCACCGGGCAAGGCTATTGTCCTCCTTGTGGGGCTGCATGGTTGACCGTTACAGGAAGTCTGTCTATGGGTCACAACACCAACTGTTATACATGTATTGGGCAGTTTAAACAATGGATCCAGAGGAGAAGGTTCACCTTGTGTTTTGTAATGTCTGGCATGGGGTTTTAAATTTTAACCATAAGTATCCATTTCCATGTTTCAGAAAGCATCACAGTGCCAGCATACAGAATTGTATCTGATTCAGTTAGGGGGGGAACTCCCACTGAGATGTGCGCGGGTGACTGAATTTGTCCCAGATTCAAGCTATAAACCGCTTGTAAAAACCTTAGCGTGGCCAGTTTTTCAATTGCTGTTAATAGGGGCACAAGGAGGGGCAGCAACACCATTTTTGAAAGGAAGTGCTCCTCCCTGTGCGAGTGCAGGCAGATCTTCGGTGGCTAATGGACACTCCTCTGGCCAATGGATACTGCCTTGCCACCGTATGATCTGCTTGGAGATTAATTGCTGGTTCCTCTCTGTGCATAATTTTCTCATCTTTATATTTTCCTCTTCCTTGTCTTTGCACTTATCTACCTAGAATAAAACGTTGTACAATCAGTTTCCAACACTGACATTGAAAATATAAGTGTCCTCATACAAATTTCACTTTGTTAAACTGTATTGTATTTGAATAAGTTGGATCACTAGAGATCAACTTAAGTCTAATAGAAAAAAGAAGGAAAAAAAGATCGTCCCTGCCTACTGACCCCAATTTTTTTCAGGAGTGAAACAGGAACCCACCGCACTTATCGAAAAGAGTAGGGGACCTTCCCGGCGTGAGTGGTTCAAACCATACAGTCTGGTCTCTGGTCTCACATCTTGAAGAGGTGATAGTCACCTGTTATGTCAACCCTTCCACAAATGTGGTAAATTTTCATAAATAAATACATTGATATGCAAATTCAATCCTGATTTTAATCCTGATTTCATTGTATTATGTTCTACCTTGGTTCTACGTTATAAGATGTTAAGGTTACAAAATTGTTTCTCTTAATATATGTTATTTAAGTTACCTTGATTTTGTATTCGATTTGTAACCTGCGTTATTTGATACCTTTGTTAATCTTGAGTTCATTTTGTTAATGAATTTTGTGTGGGGTTTTCTCCCCAGGAACCTTTGAAAATCGCCATCAGGCGACATGTGTTCTCCTGGTTAAATAAACAAACAAACAAACAAACCTACCTCAGGAGAAAAGGGCTCGTAGTTGTTGAGCTTGTCGGGGTTGTCGATGGAGTGGTTGTAGACCTGTGTGAGGATGTGTCGCAGCAGGCCGCGGGACGGGCGTGTCTGCAGCTGCGCCGGCCGCGTGGTGCCACGCACCTGGTTACCACGGAAACACTTGGCGTGAACAGTGACGAAACGAACGGGGATTAAAAATAAATCAAAACAAAAACAACAAACAATCCAACCTTCTTTTACATGCAACCAAATCAAACTTATGTATAACCTTGTTTTAAAATGTTATTCATTTTCATATCTTGCTTTGGCAATTATCATTTTCAACATGCTTTGAAATTATTAATGTATTAATTAACATTTAAAATCAATAGTGTAAACATTAAACATAAATACAAATCTTTTCAATACATAATATACTGTAATATGAACTTTCGAGTATATGAGTCACAATTTAGATTAACGCGAAATTTGGAATCAGCTCAGTCTAGTTACAAATTTTTTATTTCATTTTTCTTGTAAAATGTAAATGATATCTAGTAACAAGATAGCAGGTCTTCATGCAAAGGGTCAGCTCCCTTCTTGTATTAGTGTGAATTTGTAGTTTAATTTCATGAAGAAAATAATCATGCACCAATTCAAATCCTTGGTTTCCTCACCATTCTATGTACAAATCTAGCCAGAGGCAAACGTGAAAACAGAGGGTTGGAAAGAAAACTTGAATATAATATTTTCAACTCCCTGAAACTGTACACACATGTAGCTAGGACTTTCCCCCACCCTCTGTTTTCAACGTTGTTGACCTTTTAACTTTCAGCATTATCTTTTGTTAATCCGCAGGGCTCGAAATACTGGGTGCATGTGTACCTTAGTGCACCCAAATTTGGAGCTACAGTGCACTCAATTTTTCCTAGGTTTCCTTAATGTATGTAAAAGATGTCAAATGTACCTCATCTGAGTGTCAGAAAAATAATCAAACCATTGTTATTATAGTACTTTTCTTTATGAAACATTAGTTTTTCCTGACATTCTACTTACTTTAAGGTGCACCCAAAAATTTTTGTGCACCCTATTTTTTAGGTTGGGTGCACCAGTGCACCTATTCCAAAAAAAGAATTTCGAGCCCTGATCTGAGAACAGACAAATCGGCCTAAGCTCCAACTGTTAAAGTTTAAGGAAATGTTTCTGGAATAGTTTTGCTAACCAGCTGCAGTGTGGCGTCAATGGCACGGTTGTACTTGTCACAGATGGTCTTCATGCTCTCGTAACTCTTGGTGTCGTAGTCCAGAAGCACGTTGTTCTCCATCGCGAGCTTCAGCTCGGGAAAGTCCTCGCACACCCATCTAACACAGGACAGATGGACATAGGGAAATGTTTGTGTCTTTACTTTAGAATGGTATTTGACTATTTTCAAAACTTATTCCAGTAATATCTATTTGTACAGTGTAATGCAACGATTATGTATTCATTGCATGAACAAAATGGCTGAAAGTGAAACCACTGTATTACCAGTAATATATGGACAGGCCATAGAATTTACCTATCAGTGTCAAACAGTTACTGTATATTTCTCTGTGTAATGGGGCAAATCGTAATGTTGTAAAATATTTCACCATTAACAGTATCATGTGGAAAGGGCTGTATCAGTGTATACATAAAATTTTCAAAGATTTTCAGGTCTAAGTATGGCAGATTAGGTACTGGTATAGCCTACGAGTACTACCGGTATTATAGGTACAGTTAACTGCACCACTCTTTACTGTAAACCCTTCCGCATTACCATCTCTCCCTCCTTTATCATTCCACTCCCTCCCTCCATCAGTGTAACTTGCTAATTTTCTTACTCCCTTTTCTAGGAAAACCCCTGCTTTATCTGTACCTAACTATCCTGCTCCTGGAAACCTGCCTATAGCCCACACGTCTGGAATACACAATTCCGAGAACCTTGTTAATGATGCACTTGTCCTACTGAAAAGCAGGTGGGCGGATTTTCCAAAAAGTCCGAGTTGAAAGTGAAGTACAGAGTACTAATTATGCCTAGTTTGCAGACACTCGATTGTGTGTGGGTGTTACTACTACTACTATACAGGAGTGGGAGAGAGAAAACTTACAGAGAGAAAACGTATAACTGGCTTTTCAAAGAAATGACTTCTCATTATCTTAACTGTGTTGTGTTGACAGCCACTCCACGGAGTAGGGCGAGTCCAATGGTGTTAGTTCTTAGTCCTTTTGTTGACGTTGACGTTGACGCTCCTTCCTGGCCATCCTTTTTGCCTCCACGGCGGCAACTCTCTCGCTTTCAAAGGTTGAGACAGCCGTGTAGGACATCTGCCTCCAGGCACTGCGGTTGTGGCAGAGGGCTTGGAAGTTTGAGGGGTCAATGTGACCTTTCTTTAAGTAATGTTTAAGTGTGTCTTTGTACCGTTTTCTCTGTCCCCCCCTTGCACGGGTCCCTTGCTCCAGTTGACCGTAAAGAATCTGCTTGGGGAGCCGATTGTCTGGCATTCGTACACAGTGGCCAGACCAACGTAGCTGACTGCGCATGACGAGGGCCTCAATACTCCAAGAGCCGGCTTCAGCTAGCACGCTGGTGTTGGTGCGATAGTCAGTCCAGGAAATGTTCAGAATACGCCGCAGCGAGCGTTGGTGGAACTGTTCCAAGGTCTTAAGATGCCTTCGGTAGGTGACCCAGGCCTCACAACCATAGAGGAGGGTTGGAAGAATTGCGGCTTTATACACCTGCAGCTTTGTTACCGTCTTAAGGCTTGCATTGTCAAAGACCCGTTCCCTTAAGTTACCATAGGCTGCACAGGCACAACCTAGCCTGTGTGAGATTTCGTCGTCAATGTTTCCCTTGTGGTTAAGAATGCTGCCAAGATAACTAAAGTGCTTGACACACTCAAGGCGTACTCCATCCAGGTAGAAGCTTACTGCTGGCGGTTGTTGACCCGGAGCTGGCTGGATCATGACTTTGGTCTTTGACTTATTTGTAGTCAAGCCAAGAAGTTTGTATGCAGAATTGAAAAGATCAAGTGTATCTTGTAAATGTTGAGCCTGGTGGGCTACAAGTTTACAGTCATCAGCATACTGAAGGTCGTGGGCAACAACTCTCTGGACTTTGGTGACAGCATTGAGGCGTCTTAGGTTGAAAATACTGCCATCATAGCGGTACCTGATTGTTACTCCAGGTGGAAGACGGTCTTTAATCAGTATCAAGACAGCCAGCAGGTATATGTCAAAGATTGTTGGTGCCAGTATACACCCTTGCTTTACACCAGTCTTGATTGTGAATGATTCAGTCTCAGAGCCATTGCAAAGCACCTTGGCTGTCATTTGGTCATGTAATAGTCGCAGTATTGTTATGAACTTGTCTGGGCAGCCAAACCGCTTCAGTATCTTCCAGAGGGCCTCGCGATTCAAAGAATCAAAAGCCTTAGTAAGATCGATAAAGGGCCATGAAGAGTGGTTGTCGCTGTCTGTACATTTTTCTGATCTGCCTAGCTGAGAAGATCATGTCGATAGTTCCTCTGGATGGTCTGAAACCAGACTGGGTTTCAGGCAGAATTTCCTCACTCAGGGGAAGGAGTCGATTCAAGAGCATTCTGGCCAAGATTTTACCAGCCGATGACAGAAGGGCAATCCCACGATAGTTCCCACAATCTGATCTGTCCCCTTTTTTTGTAGAGAACAGTTATTACTGCGTTCTTAAGATCGTCTGGTAGAGTTTCCTCATCCCAGATTCGCAAGAGTATGCTGTGAAGTCGTGTTGTGAGGTCGGGTCCACCACACTTGTAGACTTCAGCAGGAATGCTGTCGGGCCCACTTGCTTTGTTGTTGTTCATCTGCTTGATCGCCTTTTCAACTTCCTGGAGAGAAGGTGGTTCTGCAAGTCCTTTTTAAGGGGGTACACTGGAATCAGCAAAATCGTTGACTGATTAACGGTGGACTCTCGATTGAGAAGTTTTTCAAAGTGTTCTTTCCACCTGGCTTTGATGCTGGCTTCATCTTTGTGCAGGATGCTGCCATCTTCAGATTTGAGTGGGGCTAAACAAGACTTGGTCGGGCCATACAGCGCTTTCGTGGCTTGGAAAAAGTTGCGCATGTCATGCCGATCAGCAAAGGCTTGAAGTTCTTGTGCTTTTGCCTCCCACCAGGTGTTCTTCATATCCCGTACACGGGTTTGAACCTCAGCTTTCAGAAGGGTAAAACGTTTGTGCTTTTCAATATTGTGGTAGTCGTCTTGCCAACATACAAAAGCTTGGCGTTTCCTGTCAATCAAGTCTTTAATCTCACTGTCATTTTCATCGAACCAATCTTCGCTCACACGTTTGTGGAGACCAATAGTGCTCTTGCACGTTTGAAGTAGAACGTTTTTGAGTTTTGCCCATTGTTCATCCACAGTTCCCTGGTGGGTAGGTTCAAGCTGACTCAGGCGACTGTGTAGATCGGACTGGAACATTTCCCTTTCTGACGGTAGTAGTAGTTTGTGAGTGTTGAACTTTCTTCTTGTTATTTTGGGACCTTTTCGCACTCTTTTCTTCAATGAAATATTCATAGTAGAGCGGACTAGGCGATGGTCAGTCCAGCATTCATCAGCGCCCCGCATTGTGCGAGTGATCCTCACATCATGTCGATCTTTCGATCTTACAATTACATAATCCAGAAGGTGCCAGTGCTTAGACCTAGGATGACACCAGGTAGTTTTGTATTTGTTCTTAAGACGGAAAAGAGTATTGGTGATTACAAGTTCATATCGTGTGCACAGAGACAGGAGAAGTAAGCCATTTGAGTTGGCGTTTCCTACCCCGTTCTTGCCGATGGTGCCATTCCAGTGTGCAGCATCGCGGCCGACTCGTGCGTTGAAATCCCCCAAGAGAATGATTTTATCAGTCGTTGGGATTGACTTGAGTATATTTTCGAGATCTTCGTAGAATTTTTCTTTGATTTTATCTTCTGCAGTCAAGGTTGGAGCATAGCAGCTAATCACTGTTGCATTTTGTCGGTTGCTGAGTTTTAGACGAAGAGTCATGAGTCTTTCGTTTACTCCAGTTGGAATTTCCTCGAGGTCTTTCAGAAGGGAATTCCTTATAGCAAAACCGACCCCATGAATCCGTCTGTCCTCCTGTGGAAGGCCTTTCCAAAAGAAAGTAAACCCCCCCGCACCTTCATTATCTTAACTACATTGTATATGAATCATGATGTATGATCAACTTGTCAAAGTCGCTCAAAATTTTTATATTCACATTGAATAAGTTGAAGAAAAGCCCAGACCCCAAAGACAGGAATTACTAGTATATTTAAAGTACGAAATTTGGGGCAGGTGCATTTTTGTCCAACATACAGCTGCATTTACATGTAAATCAAGCTGTTTTTCCAGTCCAGATTAATGACTGGCAGGTGTACATGTGCATATGTACAAAGACTGAAAGAGTACATGTATCAAACAAACACATTGTTGGTTTCAGCCTGATTACTTATTTTACTATCCTGGAGATAATTCATTTTGACAATGTTTTGTTTAGAATAGGGCAACCTTTTAAATTTGAAAAAAGAAAAAGATCCATCCAGCTTTTCAAATACCCACCTGTAACATGCCATTTGCAGAAAAAAACTTCTGGATTGCCAGCAAAAATATAGGCAACTTCAACTTGTGTTACAGTGCCACATGGATAACTGATTGGGTATTTACAGAAATTTTTCCAAAATTTGCCAGAAAAATATCTGAAAATTTGTACCTGGTACTGAAATTTTTCCAAAGTTTGCTAGAAAAGCATCTGAAAACCCGGAAACAGGAAACTTGCAGCTAGTAATATACAGACCATGTAACAGGAAGAAAAGGATTTCAATATGCCTGTTCACTTGTATGAATTGGAACGTGAGTTAGTTCCGGACATGAAAGCCACGTGTCACACAAACGTACCACACACCAATATGGCTCATTAATGACGCCAATTACGCCCCGTTCACCTGTGCCGAGCACACGTGGCCGGCTAACACGTACATTTATTTACGTCATACGGCCCATCCTCGGCGTGTGTAGTACAACACTTCACGTCTCCAGCCCCACGTGGCCGCCCAACCAAGCACCATAAAGGAAACCCCCGTCAAACCTCCCGCACGTCATTCAGACCAGTACGTCACGCGGGCGTGTGGAGGGGGTCAAAGGTCAGGGCGGGAAGGAAAGCCCGCCCAAGGGCGTCATAAAGGTGTACGTGTAGCACAACCACGTGTAGGGATTGAACAATGGACTTCAGTCTGAAACCATACCCGAGATCTGGGATCTTTCACACGAGACTTCCTTGACTTCTTCATTTGTTTACAAACAACATCCCAAGCAACCCAACAGTTAACATCATTGGGGTGTTTGAACAATGAAGTCACTCTAAAAACAGACCTAGTTTTCAGAGCATGCACTTCCTGCTCATACATGTAGGTACAGGACAGGGTAAAAATCACTACATTATTTCCTGCAAGGTTTAAAACTAAAAAGGAATACTACAATATTATAAAATACCAAAAGTCGCGACCAAAAACAGTTACATTTTTCAAACAAAGCCACAAACACATTCAAATACTTGACTAGAATGCACATGTATGTACATGTATGTACTAGTCAATCAGATATTTTGCTTGGCAACAATATCAATGTTTTCTATGGATAAGAGTATCAAAAACAACCTTTAAAGGACATTTCCGGACCTTTGAATCATCACAACGTCAACAGCTGAATAGTGACATTTGAGCATCTAGTACAGTCACACCTTACATAAATGATCTCCCAGCAACTAGCTAATGTTTGCAGACAATCTTTAGAGTTGAAATCTCAACAATCCCCGACCTTTCCGAATTGACATCAAATGTTGTTATATAAACCTTATATGTGATTATATAAACTTTATAATAAGTCTGGCTGAAAATGTGATAGTTGACGTATAGTGGTCTCCTAGAAACAAGGTATTATACTTATATAATAAATTCATATGCAACCCACATGGCTAGACTATAGATTGCCCAAGGCAAAACATGCGAGTAATGTTACATTTTCATTGAAATGCATAAAACCTTTTATAGAAACCTTTCAACTGCCTTTTAGACACAAACCCTGACACAACCTACAACATTTAAAAAGGTAACGTTCACAAAACAAAGGCACGGAAAATTCAGTGTGATATTTGACTGCAAATGTGAAACAACACAGATTACAATGGGTACAAAAAACACAGTTCTTGCAGCTTGGAAAGGTAACGTTCACGAAACAATGGCACGGAAAATTCAGGGTGATATTTGACTGCAAATGTGAAACAACGCGACTCAGAATGGGTCGAAATAACACAGTTCTCTCAGCTTGTGAAGGCATGCTTCTCACATTATTCTGCAAAAGGGCACTAGAGGTTGGATGTGTACGTGCGAACGTGACTGCCAACAATAAAGAAACACCCCCGAAGCACATCAGTGAGACTTCAATGTCATTAACCATTCCTCCTCCGACAAATGACCTTGGGGGAAGAGGGCGAGATGACTCAGAGGGCACGGGCGGTGGTTAATGAAAGAAGAACGTCTGCATCTTGATTACTGTAATTCCTCCTTTCTTTATGGTACTTTTACGCTCACGGTTCTCATGGTCACTTCTGTACCATGAACTTATCATTACCGTTAACAAATTGTTCCTCAACGGTCTTTTTCCCTGCACCTGTCACCACTGTGAACGTGAACATGTGCACTTTTCTCAGACCGTGAAATTTGGCTACTGAGTGAACATAAAGAGAATTACAGTATTTGGAACCAATAACTGAGACTCATGCAGACATATTACATGTTTTAACTACTGGGTGGAGAAAGATGGACAGTCTTATTGAGGTCCTGTGTGGGTGGATGTCTCAAGCCTGCTACAGTCCTACAATGTTGCAATGTCTTATAGGATTGAGTTTGTGATACATCAGATTTAACAAGAGCCTATACGCTTTTCTTCAAAGAAGAACTGCTTGTTAGGGGCCGGAAGGCTCGCTAGCTCACAAAATGATAATTTCTCACTAATTAAGTAGAAGATTGTAGGCGTTGATTGAAAGAACTTTCTGCACAGATTTGGGGAGGTTTTGATCAACCAGTTAATGACAGAAAGGCAGAAACACTGTGAAGCCCTGAAAAATTACTCTGATTCCAGTCCTACTTGACTCTTTCCAAATTCCTACTGTAAAAAGCTTCCAGGAATGGTGATAAAATAACGTAAGAATCTTAGTAAGATTCCATCTAAAGGACTGAAATTCTCTGTATCCAACAGGCCCATGACAACAGTCAGTTCAGCTCTAGACTTGTCGTCTTCTGGGACACAAAACACTTGTACACTGGTATGTACCCTACACCAAGTTGGAAAATACCATTCCCAAAGAAGGCATGTAAGTGTCAAGGACTTTCTTACATTCCAGACCTGACTCCATACAAGGTGAAAACCTGTCAAGAGACACAGCACTGAACTGTAGTAGAGGAACTCCCTGTGGTAATAATGTCATTTCTACTTTTAACTGAAATCTACAGATCTCCAAGTAATTCTAGTAATCTAGAATCCCCTTCTGCTGGCTCTGATGTCGTTGATAAAATCTCACACCATCCCATTAGGCCAGTGATTATCGTGTGACAAAGGACCAAAGAGGATTTCCTGTCCAACCTAAACACTACTGCAATACAGTGTTTGTATGTCCTGGCAAATTTACAACAAGCTAATGCCTGCGAAACTATTACGCTGTGTTATGCTGAAGTGCAGTTATACCGGCTATACAGATACAGATGGCTTCACTTGTTCAAATTGTTACACAACAGTACAACAGAGTAATCAATAAGAATTTCAAGCGAATGTTAAATCAATAATGTTGTCTCACCTCAATCTATTGATTCGGTTGATATCTTTGGCCTCTCAGCTTTAGGCTTTGTCTTTCATTTCACAGATTCATGCGCTACTTTATTAATTTCACAAAATTGTATAGAAATCATAAATAGCTGTGGGCCAATTTTTTTCAGCTGTGAGGTGCAAACTTGTATTTACCTCAATGAATATGGGAATTAATTTTAATACCACCGAGGAATAAAAACATGGAAGAAACAGTATGACAAAACAAGAGTAACTGTCATTGATTGATTGATCATCAATGAAAGCATGATTGATTGATCTGTCTGAATATGATGAGTGTTGAAAACAACACTGTACCATATGAATGACTAATTATTGTATAACAATAAGATACAGGTGGTTGCTTAGATATCCCATTCTTCTTCCATTAACACAAAATGACTTCCTTTGTTATATTTAAGATTCAAAAATTTCAGTGTATTATTGATACGGCAACATGATGGCAAGGTCAAAATATGGTATTGTTGTAATTGCCTCAAACGACTTTTGTTCCATATACCTGTACCCGGTTTTACGACTTTTATGATATATTGCTATTTTTTTAGTTC